CCAGTCCGCGTTAGAGGGGAAGAAAAATGGAGAGAGAAAGAGCAGATGGATTCTATCCCCTATATCGAACACTCATTCCTATCTATTGATAGAAAGATCTTCGTCAAATACCGGACTTTTCCTTTTTTTGTTTTTTTATAATTCCTCATATCCAAGGCAGCTTATCTGCCCGCTTTGATTAGGCTTCCTTTAACGGATTTGATCGGCATTTCGTGCCTGCAGTCCTGCTGAATTCGACCATTTATCAGGGTAGCGTAGTAATGGATCTTCTTTCTTTTCAGAAAGCATTTTTTGAAAGTAACAATTCCATTCAGTTCGGTTTCGGAAAACTTTCCGTCGGGGCCTAACATCAAAGGCGCAGGTTGATCTCTATGGTTGAGGCTGCAATTCATTTTTACACATGGGAAGGGCTTACTCGACTAGAGGCTCGGCTTGGTCTCGCTCCCTTCCCGTACTATTCCTCCCCACTAAAAAAAGAGCGATTGAGAATCTCGAGAACCTTTCTGCACGTCTGTCTTCGCGGGGTGATTTGAAAAGGAGTATATCTTTCTTGTAGTGCCTTCCATTCCACTAGAGTTTGACAGAAATTCATTGAAATTCAAATTTTATTAACGGAAACCGGTTAAAGATAACGAAAAAAGTTTCGGGTTGTCACATCCTCTAGCAAAGTGATGATTGGTTTCCTTCTGGCATGCCTAATAGTAGAATTGAAACTCTCACTCACCCCATTCTCAATTGCATCATAATCTCTTCCCTCTTTAAAAAAAGCCTTAGACCATGTAGTAGGATCTTTGTCTATGAGGTAGTCATATGCTTGAATATCTAAAGATTTGATCTTTTCCATTACATGTTTGAACTTCCGTTCAGTACTAGCTTTGACAGCCCTCCAAAAAAGCTTCCTGAAATGTTGACCGGTAAACCTTTTAGCAAAATTAGCCATAATGGGCCTGGCACATTATATGTGTTCAGCTTCTAGACACCATTCTTTTACTACTTCTAGCAACCCCTACAAATAACGACAACAAATTTATTGAAACATGCATAATAACAGATGTATAAATATGAACCAATGTTCACCTTGTGTCCATCAGAAAGAAGGGTAATGCCTGTACCAAGACCACCATCAATGTCATCCATGGAGGAGATCTATGAACCACTTCCATGTGGCCTTGTTCTCGACCCCAACTACAGCCCTTGCTATAAGGTAGATGTGGTTATTTTCATCCCTCCCTACATCTTCCAAAACTTCTCCCCTAACACTACCCTTTAAAAAGAAACCATCAAGGCCAATCACAGGCCTGCACCCTTCCTTCCAACCATCACTTACAGCTTTAAAGTGGACATGGTACTTAGAAAACAAAGTTTTGGAATCTGGCATGATGTCTACATCCATCCTCACAGTAGACCCAAGGTTGTCCTCAGAATTTCATGACCATAGGACCATAATCTCCCATAATGTTTAATTAGACTTCCTTCGATTTCTTGTAATGCAAATTTCTTTGCATTTCTACATTGCCCCACACTCACATTTATATTGAATGTTGTTGAAACTTTAGCTTTCATCTTCCTAACACTCATTTTTGGCTTCTCTATAATTTCACTCATAAACAGTTTGCCTAACCACTTATAAGCTACTATAGATCCAAACTTAAACACCATGCTATAATTATGTTCACTAACTAAAGATTTTATCTGAAAAGTCTTCTCTTTACTCATCCAAGAGGCCCAAAGTCTAAATGGACAAGTAGGTGACTTGTTCTTTTTGCAACATTTAACTAACAACCGTTGGGAGTCATTTTTTTCAAACCAGAGATCATATCAATTAGCAACTGTATAGTTGCTCAACCTATTTTTATGCTCATCAAGGTTAGAAAATCGCATACCTAACAGTGGTTTCATCTAATTCCATGGTTGTCTATTCATCATGTACAGGGTATTGAGGTTGAACATATTCAACATCTTCATATAGATCATGTACATTTAATGTATGTATACAAAGTTTGTATAAGAACCTATCACCCATGGTTTTGTTGGCTGGGAATGGATATTCAACATCATCTTCTTCATGGTCAATAGAATAAGTGTCCGACAAAATTGAGTCTTCATCCTCTTCACAGCTGTAGTCTTGATCTTCATTTTCCTTTTCCTCAATCCATTCAAATATTGGTTCATTATAGTGGTCCACATACACATTCATTCTCCTCTCATTTGCATAAGCCAAATCCAAAATTTCTTTGTAATCACCGTCATAAACCAGTGTATGAATTCCCTGACTTAAAGACTCTTGTGGAAGGTAGAAGTAGATGTCTTTACTTCTAGTTCTGGTGAGCTTCTAAAGGAATTCCATGAACTCCTTGTACTCAAATCCACTACAATCAACATCTCCTACTGATTGCCTGTCGGGATGAAGGTATACTAATGGGTTGGGTGCAAACATTCCATTGTAGTGGAAATCCACTACAATGAAGTTTCGATCAGTAGGACATTCTGATGAAGCCATTATAGAGACCGACTGAAGATTGAAGGAGACAAAATTGGGGGTTAATGAGACTTGGTGACCTAATCGAATTGAAGGACCAAATGAGACTTCACTCTTAACTTTAATGAGGATGGGAAGCAAAATCGGGGCCTACATGCCACCTCATTGGCCACCCAGGATAAAAAAAAAGCCACATCAGACCGATGCAACTGTTGAAACCAGCTATAATCGTTCATAGGGGGAAGTTTACACGAATCAACAAGTTAAATGGCTATTAAAGCACGAAAAAAAAAATAGTGACCAAATGTAACCAAAAACAATAGTATGTTACCCTCTCAAGTCATTATCACTTGAAATAATATCTATATTAAACCATAAATATACATAATTTCATCCTCATTTTGAGATGACATATCATTATTACTAGGTTAAAAAAACCACGGTTGATAAAGTGAAAATATAAAATAACATATATTATAAAAATGGAAACATAATTTTGTTCGTCCAATAAAAAAATATTTCATTACTTTCAAAGATATCATGATTCACAAAAATAGATAAAAACAGATACACACACATAGACAACCACACATATATTTAGAAAATTAAAATAAAAGATGATCAATTCCTCATTATAGAATTGTACTTTGAGAATAAATTCCTAAAAATGGGATATAGTGTAACAGGAACTTTCAAAAAGAAATTGATAATTGTTTTGTTTATTATTTAAACAGGTTTGAGAAATCAGATTAAATAATCAATTATTTTACGCTAAAAAACTTATGAATCACGATTATTTGCATAAAATCGACATGAGTATTCGACATGTAAGTGTAGATGTTACCAAGAAAACAATGAATAAAAGTTGATAAGTTCAAACAACCATGAGTCAGATCTAAGACAATCAATAAAACACAGTTTCAAAATGAATTTAACAAAATCCATATTGAAACTTATAGTTTCACAAATTATCAAATTGGAAGAGTTTGACTATTGCTCCAACAGCCGGCAAGTGGTTCATATGAATATGTAGAATAACCATATATGGAATGCATCTAGAGTGCAGGCTCGCCTAAAGGATATAGATGAAGAACACATTGAAGTTTTTATAGCTTTAGTTTGAAGTTTTAAGCAACAATTTCTTTCTTACTTTGCAACACTTTCAACTTTTCCTCAATAAGTAGAGACTTTACATCATGATTATCAACTAGTTTATCTAATGCCTCAATCCTACAAACACCTTCCTATACGCCACTTTAGAGTACAATATCATAAATAAAAATGAGAGCATTACAATTAATAATAACCAAATGCAGCAAAAGTTATATATAAAAATTATACGTCATGTTTTCTTCAGGATCCAAGGGTGGTATTCTTTGTTTATAAAATCTTGAAAGATTCATACACCTTTTTAAGGGATTTTTTGTGATTCTCTAATGGCAAAATATCATTTGCCATTACGAATAGACTCTTCCCAACTTTTCTCTGTTTTTAAAAAGTAAAAAATTAGATGACTATTTGTATATGGGAAATAAATGTTCAAAAGGAGTGAATAAGACACCATTAGGAGATATCATATAACAATTTGTACATTCTAATTCAAATCTTAAAATTCATAAGCAATAATGAACGCTTACCCTTTTAGATTCTCAATTGCCAACCATATCTTGTCAATACGGAGAATTAACCCAAAAAAAACACCATCTCACTTAATAAAAATATATACATTTTTATAGATAAACATGATTTGGTCACTACAATTTGGCAATTCACTGTATTTCATAAAGTGATTTAAACTTTAAACCTTAAGCTCCATCTATCCATGACAAGTAATAACAAAAGTTTAAATCATGGTTGATATCCATAGCCCTTATTTAATATGATATGGTTTTATGGGTAGAACATTTATACTACTTATGGTTAGGTCTCACTATGCTTCAAACATATCCATTTCTTTCTGTGGGTTCTACTACACCTCCATGGATCCAACCCATTTGAGAACACAAGCCCCTTGCACAAATACAAATCCTGTAATAGATTTCACATTAGACACAGACAAACCCTTTGCATAAATAAAAATCCCATAGTAATATCACATTGAACACAAACCGTTTGCACAAATATGAATCCCATTAAAAAGTACTGCATTTTGAATCTTGATTTCAAAGATATAAGCCAATTTTTGATGTTTCATGGTATTCCAATCCTAATTTGAGTTTAAATTCAAAGAATTAACATGTTGATACACGATTTTCACTCCAAGTAATTAAGATAATTATAACAAAGAGTAAGAAAGAAAAATAAGTAATAAGGAATAGCTTTGGCTAACATGAGTTGGGATTGCTGTGTGTCATTTACACCTTCCATGGCATCCACTTTAATTAATTCATGAAGAAAGATGGAATATTTCATGCTAAAACAACGTTACAATCAAATGAAAGAAAATAAAAACATACGAAACCCAAAATTGAAGATAAAGAGAACTTAGAAGGGAAAATGTCACTGTAGCCCCACTAACTTACAAGTTTTGGTTTAAAAGGTCCCTTATTTTATTTTTTGGCTTTAGAAGGGCATAAACTAACATTTAACCGGCTAATTAGGCCATTTTTTATAAAGTGAAGGGGTCACCCGGTGACCCTAATCCCAATCAACATTATTTCTTGGACATGTCATTAAAAGAAAGCCAGGTCATTAAACTAAATCATATACCACGTGTTAGTGTATCGATAAATGACATCAACCCTTCCTCTCCAAGTAATTTTCGTCTTTAATCAGTTTCATCTACCAATATCTTCTTTTTCTTCTACTGTTCATCCAAAAATCAAACCTGGATTTTTTCTATGGCCGTCTACATGAAGATAGATCTTTATTTTGCTGGTTTGTTTACGAGGTATCCAGTGATCAGTTACTCAGATGGAGTGTAACAAAGGTTTGAGGATGTGGATTTTGCTGGAATGGACAAAAACAAATTTCTAGTGTTCATTCAGAGATTCGCAAACGAGACATGTGTTGATGTGTACTTTTGCATGCCCGATATTGAGTTCCCTGAAGGACTGAGGATAATAGCAACTGAGAAAGACTACCAGGAGTTTATCGAAGTAGGGTATGATTCTGGTTGTGTAATTTCTGGGTACATGGATCATGTTGGTGTTCATGTTCATCAATGGATTGTTGATGAGATGGATGAAGTATGCACCCCCAAGGACACGTTTTCTGGTGTAGGTGAAGTAGTAGAAGAGTTACATGTTGAGACAGAAGGAGGCATTGACCTAGATGAAGTACAAGTGCAAGGTGATTTGGACGATAACATTGAAGATGGAGATTGCATACCCATGAACAAGAAATTGAATAATGTATTTTTTAACAAGATCTGCCCCAAGGAGCAGCCAACTCCAGACACTCCACCTCAAGAGGATCCATCTCATGAAGATCCATTTGATCAGATGGATGAACACGACCCAATTCATGAGGAGGTAACTGCTTTTAATGAAAATGTTGATTGGAAAAAACAAAAACCTGTGTTAGGAATGAGATTTGAAAATCCTAAACAATTAAAACATATGTTGTGTAATTATGGTGTTGCTAAAGGATATCAATTGTGTTACAAAAAAAATGATAGTAGGAGGCTTTTGTTAAATGTTGTTCTGGGCAATGCAAGTTTAGATTATGGGCTTCATGGATGAGTGAGGAAAAATCTTTTCAGATTAAGTCTCTTATAGATGACCATAATTGTGCTAGAAATTTTAAAATGAGGTAAATTGTAAACTATGCATGGATTGGTAGCCATTTCACATCCAAATTTTTACAAAAACAAAAAATGAGTGTTAGGCTACTAAAGGAAGAAGTAAAACAAAATTTTGGAATTGATATGAGTATGGGATAGTGTAGAAGAGAAAAGAAATATGCAACTGAACTTATTGAAGGTGCACTAGTTAAGCATTATGCCAAGCTTTGGTCATATGGTGAAGAGATAAGAAGATCCAATCCAGGATCAACTGTCAAATTGGATGTCAACAGTATGCCTGATGGGAAGACATATTTTAGTAAGTTTTACATATGCTCTGAGGGGCTGAAACAAGGTTGGAAAGGAAGTTGTAGAAGAGTAATAAACCTGGATGGTTGTTTCTTAAAGGGATTATGTAGTAGAGAATTGATATGTGTCGTAGGAAGAGATGCTAACAATCATATTTTCCCAATAGCATGGGTAGTTATGTGTGTGGAAAATAAAGAAAATTGGAAATGGTTTTTGGAGAATCTTCCAGATGATCTAGAAGTTGATGATGGTAGTGGTATCTGTTGGATTAATGTCTAAGTCCATAACTATAATTGGTAAGACTTGACCCGACCCGGCATGGTCCATTTGGGTTGCATGGCATCACGCACTTGGATAGACTATAATGAGAGAAATAAGACACTTATGGTAATTAATATATTATAAGTTCTAGTATATTAATAATAAGAATAATAAGATTATTTAATTAGTATTGATCAAGAATTAATCTAGGATTAATTAAGTGATCAAAAGAAGACTAATTAAATATATGGGTTGATTGTGCAAATCATCCATACTTATATAGTGGGCTAATGCTCCATGGATTATCTAGTTGGGCCAAAACCCATATGATGCTCCATGGATGCTCCATGGTGTATTTGAACCCATGGATCCAAGGAAATGGAAAGTCATGACAATTAGGGTTTACCCTAATTGTATAACTATATAAGCATCTTATTCTTGATCAAAATCGGCCACTAGTGAGAGTAAGAAAGGGCTAGCCGATTTTCATGAAGTGTAGAATTCTCTCAAGTTATTCCAAGTGTATTTGGTGTTGTGTGAACCATTTGAGGTGTCACACTTGGGGCACTAGGCACTCAAGCTTCATGAAGACATTCTACATCAAAGAGGTATGTATTCTATCTTGTTATATTGATAGTTTTGTATGCTAGATTAGGATAATACCTTGGATGTTCATATTTGCATGTATAATAGAGAAAACATAGATCCAAGGTATTTAGGGTTGCAT